AATTGAAAGCACATCCAAGTCAATTTAAATTGCTTTCATACAGTGCTCACTGTTACTCTTTGCACTACTGAGGATTAAAAGCAGCTTGGAAAAGCCATAGTTACATGTTGTGTTATATGTATTCTGGCGAGCTCGAACAGGTATGTGCAGGAGTGTTTACATATGTGCACCTGACTCTATGTGTGTGTGTGTTTGCATTTGTATTCCAAGAGGAGAGAGTTGTTCCTGACAGAGCAGAATCCTCACAGCCCATAAGTCAGAGCTGCTGTGACATCGACCTGTCAGCATGCAGACGATGAGGTGGAGGGAAGGCAAGGGTGGGGGCAGAGGGAAGCAAGGAAAGGATTCGGGTTGGCGGGGTGAGGGAGTTTAAAAAGGGAGAAAAGAGCACACTGTAGAGGTGTGGGCATGTTGTAAGAAAAGGAGGTGGGATAGTAGTAGGTGCAGAACTGGCTTACTAAAAGGTGCCAGTATACCCCACTTAAAAGCTTTAGCAAGTTTTACAGTGGCAGGAGGAAGGCTTCATTTCTCGACAATTTATTTTTCACCTAGAAGCATTGTGTTGCAATTCAGACCTTGAGGCCTGTGAAGTTAAGTACAAACTCCAGCCATTTGCACATTGCCTGCATATCAGTTTAGAGTCTTATTATATTTGGGACCCTGTAATTTAGTTGTGGTCTTCAGAGCGACATGATTCAGTGTACATGCTAAACTAGACAGGCACAGCTACACTGTATTTGGTAGCAGAAATATAACATTGATGCTGAAGGTAGAGGGAGGTGTATGCTTTTATGGTGAGAAAAGAGAGGCCTGTGTATCTTGCTGTTTAAAACACATAGCAACAGAGATATGGAAACATGTGCCTGGAACCTTTAGGAAACTACTGAACTGAAAAGAGGTATGAAGCTACATTTTAAAAAAATATTTCTGTGTGCCAAATCTCATAGTGATGGAAAGTTTGATCATAGCAGAGAAACTGATGAGTTTGGCTTTTTGAAAATACAACAAAAGTAATTTGAAATTTGTTTTTTGTTTGTTTGTTTTTATATGTATCAAATGTTCAACAGAACATACTACACTAGACTTTATGCCACATGTAAAATACATGATCACAAAGACACTGCATAAGATTCCTTGGGCCACTCACCCTGTTGGCTGAGCCTTAGCCCGTGGGCCCTGGTGGATGCAGCCAAAGAGGAGACATGGGCTGGCGAATGTGAGCACACCACTCACAGGAAGAAGCCTAGGGGTTGGTACCATAGGGGTTACAGAAGTACTGTAGGGGCCTTGCCATCAGAGAGGGGACATAAAAGCCTGAGCTAGTTTGTGAGATTGAGAAATACTGGCTACAGATGGGCTAAGCTTAGTGCACAGTTGGGATCTGTAACCAGTGTCCTGGAGAGGGGCTGGACTCATCCAAGTGTGACTTGGAGGAACGTGACTTGGGAGAACAGTGCCTGATCTGAACCCAAGCGGTTTTTGTTATTGGACTTGTGTGCAAACACCATTTAAAACATAAATATATTCAAAAGTGCACATAGCAACAGGACACTCGACCGCAGGTCGACGGTCAGTTTTGAAAATTTATCATCAGATCTGTAGCTGTACGTTCTGGAAACTCAGGAGAAGAGAGGAGGTCAGGTGGCAGAAGAGGATGTTGGACAGTGAGTGTGCATTGGGCGTGTCCGGTAAAGGCCCTGGTCCATGAGATCTTTAATTCCCACCTCTAGCAGAACTTGGACAGCATTCAGAGGTCATTTTTTCTGAAAATCGTGTTAATCGTGATAGTTTAAAATCATTTATCAAACTGTATTTTTTTAAAAGTACAAAAATTAAAATTACCATAACATAAACTTTAGTGTTGTAACATTACCACAAACAGACTGTGCTCCTCTGTTTAAAGAAAAGTAATTATGATGTAAATGAGTGGAAAAAACGGCATATAGCTCCTGTTAGAATACCATCCTCCGTCACTTACCAGAAGCACTTCCTTCTTGGTCAAACCACAGGTTCCTAAGTCATAATTTCTGGTATTAAACAGAATTTAAGCCCTTTGTATCCTCCAACCTTCTCACATGACTGGGATTTAGTGTGACAGTGTCACCCTGTAGCTTGAAAAATCAGAGGCAGCATAATTCCTCCGTGACTTGACTTTAACTGATGAATCCCTGAGGATTTGGCACAGGAAGTTTTGGTGACTCAGGTCTGAGTCATGCTGTGGTGGTGAGATGGGACCAGACATGCTCTCACTCTCACATCGAGCTGGTCTCAATTTGATTCCCACCCAACAGTGACTGAGCAGCTGTTTCCCACCCATTCAAGCCTTCCACTGGTCTGACTAGTGCAACTGCTATAATCCGGACTGGATTAGATTAAACTGACCTGTGACCCCTGTACTTCCTGCATTAGTTCAGATTGGCCTTACCTCAGGGTCTGATGTGTGTTTTTATGTTTACATTCGTATTTGTGTGTGTGTCCCATGTTAATCTGACTTTGTTGTCCTCTCTTTAGATGGAAGAATTCAAAGATTCCTGTCAGCCTCCTCAGCCTGGTTTCCATAACAACAGGAGGATGTGGTCTCTGACCACCAGATTTGCTCTGAGCACTCTCGGAGTCACCTTCCTCGTACTGCTCTACAAAGCTTCCAGTGGCAAGGTTTCCCTACAGTGCAGGGATACTTTTTGATCGCCTCACAGATTTGTGAGGTCTTTTGTGTTTGTTGACTGTAGCTAAAAAGTTGGATAAGTATTGTGTTTATATGTGTTACGGGTGTTTGACAGGCATTCAGTTTTAATTTTGCTGCAGTGTTTTTTTCCCAGTTTGTTTTGACTTGTCACTGAGTTTAATTCTTATTCTTTTTAAGTTATTTTATATTTTAATGGTTTGAACAATTAAAGTTTTTCTTTTGAGAGTACGTTTCTTGTATGCTCGATTTAAGGTTGAAATCGGGATGCTTTCTATATTGGTGCCAGCCAGATGTTGAGTATAGAGTCTTGGCCATCACCATCAGTGTTTTGAAACTAAAGACAAGCAAGTGGTGTATCTGATTGGGAAACCAAGGACACTGCACTTTCAACTTGTGGTGACATGCATGTCTATTTGTTTTCCATTTTCAACTAAAAGTGACAATAAACTTAAAGTGACAGACTGAGACCATAAATTCATCAGGAAAGTGTTTGTTGAAGTTACAAGTTTTTGAGTAGTGGGCTCGTTTTTTTCACAGGGCTTCTTTTTGCACCCTGCTGATCATCTTAAAGACTACAGGTGTAAGGCTTTGCAAAGTCGCTGTCCTTAGACCGACTGCTTGATCCTTTGTAATATACAGTCTATAAGAAAACCTAGAGGCATGTGGAAATGTGAAGCCTGCTCTCCCAAATATACAGAAGGATGCAATGCCAAGTTTCTCCGAGTAGTTTATCAGAGGTTTTTTTTGTTGCACTAGGTTATTTTGTAAGAGGAAATCATCACATTTATAGGAGCCATAGGTGAATTTTCTAACAATAGAAGGGGGCAGAGTGCTTTTTCTTCTTGCTGGTAGCTAAACTGAGTCTGGCAAACAAACCATAGGTGTGAAAGTGATATCAGTTTTCTCCCTAAATCGCAGAAAGAAATCCAATCTGTATTTCAAAAATGATTCAAGTGGATTCCTGTGATGTTAATGACCAGATTTAGCTTTTGCTGGTTGAATATTTTCAAATGTCCAGCTGATACGTTTAAAAATCACAAACTCTTCAAAGTCCTTATTGTCTGATTTTGTGCCATTTCCTTTTCAGTGTTCACAAACTTTATTGTGCGCAAGTATTATCAAAAATACCTTTCTGTCCGTAAAACATGCAATGAAACTGTGACCTTAATGCGATTTGGTAAGGAAGTGAACAAATTACTCCCATAAAATTGGATTTATAGCACAGGCTTATTACAACTACCGCTGCTGCAAAAATAAAGTTGTGTTCAAAGTCCTGATGAGAGCAGTGAGAACGCTCTAAATCTTCTTGTTGTTTTATGGGTTTCTTCCACGGGGATCATGGGAACAATCCAATTTGCCCATTAATCTCATCTGGTCAAAGTCTCCAGACCTCCAGATACACCCCGGGCTAGATCAAAGATGGAGGAAACGCTGTGTGACAGTGGTACAGACTTCACCGGGACACATCAAAAAGACTGACATGGATAATCCAATTGAAATGGACACATCACCTTTAGGTGCTGCTCTGGGAGAATCGGTGCCCAGTTTTTTCCTCCTTTTTTAAGCCATCATTCCTGAGTTATTAGTGATAGTTTGTATAAGGCTGTAAAAATAGCAGTGCGTCATGCGCGAGGAATCTGAGATATTATTCACCTGTGTGGGATATGGCTATGGCAATGGGCGCTCAACATAAACAAAACACTAGTTTGATTTATTTTCTTAAAGGGTCTTTATGCTTATCAATTACACCGCTACACCATATGCCAGAGTTTTTCTCTGTTGAGCTCTACGGAGTCCTGTGAGAAAAACATTTAAAAATCATAATGTTTATCTTTTGTGCGTAAAAGTTTTTTTGGGGTTTTTTTTTTTTGTAGCCTGTTTTATTTATTTATTTATTTTTGGACTGGCACATCAACTCCATTCATCATCCTGTCCCCCGATTTTGAATCTAAGCGGGTTTGGGCATTTTTCCTGTGGTGTCTGACATTGGTTAAGCGTGGAGTGTGAATCCTCCCACAGCTAGCTCCTTCTCTGCGCGCGTCTCATCGGTGCGATTTGAATGAAGAGCCCATCAACTTGGACCACATCTCAGAGGTGCGGAGCTCCGGTCTGGACACGGGCCAAACCCGTCTGATGTCAAACCAGCCTGAACAGATACTCTCAGACATCTCGTTTCTTCACCTCATTCCTGAGACGGGACTCTGCCCACTCCTTGTGTAAAGCAATCTGAACCTGATAGCACAGCATCCGCGTATCTCCCCTGAGAATCTGCTCTGGACTATTAAGACAGTCGCTCTTAACCTTTTCTTCAGAAGCGCTTTGCCACTGTGCAGAATCCCAGCCAGCCATGACTTTTACGAGCAAACCGTCTGTCCTCCGACTGTCTTGTAATACATTTTTAAAGCGAGTTTAACTCGGCGATTCAACTTTCAGCTTCTGTTTTATTAATTTTTTCCTGTCATCTGTGGAAATGCTCCGTCCAGACCCATAAAGAAACAGAGTTTGGTTAATATGCACTTATTGCCAAGCGGAATATGTTTTTATTTATCTGTAGCAATCTGCTGGCTCACAGCTGAGATCGATGCGTCCTGGTGGTAAGTATTATTATTATTTAACATTTACATATTTGTTTAAATGAACGCTAGTGTAAGACTTTGTGCACGTGGGTTATGTGCTTTTATAATAATCTTTCAAATGTGTTGTCTTATTCTGTCATCGGTAAATTATTGGTTTAAAAAAACAGTTCCATATGCACCCTTTTATCTTAACAAAAATGTTCCCACAGTGAGTGACTAAATTCCCCCCATGGCTTGCATAATTATTTTTGCAGCTTGTTGAATATTTGGACGGATTAGTTTCCAGGCTGAAGTCATTTGATATAATTTAATTTCTCTTTATTTGCTATCCTTCTCTTGAATCTCTAATTAATATTTACAAAGCTCCTGTTTCCAAATTCCTTACTTCGTACCCTGTGATACTGAGATGGTATTTGGAGAGATAATTCCTTTTTTGTTGCTGCTGCTTTGTGTCTTTAATCTTCAGTGCAGCCCATCAGTCTTTCATCATCTTGTTCTGCAGGTAAAAGGGAGTGTGGACTTGTTAGGAGTGATTCCAACAGATACCTCTGAAGAATACACCCTCTAGCATTCTTATTTTATGCATTAATATAAAGTAAAGGTCTTCAATTACCTTACAAAGCTTTAATATATCCACAGCTGCCTTTACACACGTTGGGTTACATACAAAATTATTCGATTTTATCCTTTACTAAAGTGATCCAGAAACATCCCTGCAAGTACTCATCTGTCTTGACATTTACCCTCCCACTCTACAGGTACATGGGCACCCTGGGCTCCCAGGTGATGTGCGACAACATCCCTGGACTGGTGAATAAGCAGCGCCAGCTGTGCCGCCAGTACCCCAAAGTGATGCAGGCCATCGGGGCTGGGATGAAGGACTGGATCTCAGAGTGCCAGTACCAGTTCCGCAACCACCGCTGGAACTGCAACACCACAGCCAGGGACCACAATCTCTTTGGACGTCTGCTGCTACGCAGTGAGTTTCAGGAGTGTTAAAGCCAAAATACAGTAGGACCTTCATTCTACCTTAACATGAAAAAAGTAACATTTACATTTTTAAAAAAAAGTTTCAATATAAAGTTCAAAGAAGGTCCAGGGGTTCTGCCATGAAAATGAAGGTTACATGTTGATTAGACGGCTGAGAAATTAGTCTGTTTGGACCCACTTTAAAAAAAGGTCTTGTCTATTTCTCTTTGTGCTACTGAATCCATCAGGTGAAAGTTAAATAAAGCTGTGAACTAAATAGTTTATCCAATGTGGATAAAAGCATAATGTTGGTCACAGATGTGATTTTTTTGAATAATTATTTCTTCTTTTTAA